TTGATCATTGCGTGGACAAACTGTATATTTTGCGACTTGTAAGTTGATTCCGCAACAGTCTGAAAATGCGACGCCGAATTCGCAACACGGCTATTTTTCTATGATTTTTTTGCTGTTTTGGATTCCAATAAAAATAGCTTAAATGCCGTATTGCTTAAAACTGCATCAAAGCAGTCGAACTTATGGAATCCGCAACAAAATTTCCGGAATCCGCTAACAATTTCCGGAATCCGCTAATAATTTCCGGAATCTTTTTAAATCTTGACATTATGCATTACAATTTTGCGGAATCCAATTGCATTTGCAGAATCCACTTAAAATGCTTAAGTTTGCGTAATTTTTACCTTACACGGTATTTGAACGAAACCTTCGTTGCAATGAATTTTCATTGTGAAACAAGTTTAAAGACTTGTATCTGGATTACAGTGACTTGCACACACTGAACACTGCGTCCATCCATTGCACAGTTTGGTCTCATAATGATATGCGTGCTTCTAGGTCGAATACAGCTTCTTTTTGATTATGCATTGTATTTTGCCTTGGGTTATACCAGGGGCGGATTTGGGGGGGGGGGGGGGGGGGGGGGAGGCGGACGCCCTTCTCCCCTCAAGGATTCGACCCCATGCCGAACCAAAGGGTACCCTTTGGTAGTTTTTAAGAAATCCAGTTTTGGCCGACCAACCCTAAATTTTAAATAAAGGCGCCTTAGGCGCCAATATATACTAATTTTAAGGGGGGAGCGCGCGCCAAACAAACCGCGATTTTTTGGTCAAAATTTTCCAAAAAATGCCTAAAATGCCTTTTTTCGACTGTTTTTTTAAAATCAGCAGAAATCAGCGGCGCAGAATATTTGGCCAAAACAGGGACTAAACTGGCATAGGGAGAGCTAGATAAATCAGTTTGGTCAACCTAAAAAAAAGGTCGACAAAATTTTCGAAAATTTTTTGAAAATCCGCCCCCCTCGAGAAAATCCTAGATTCGCCCCTGGGTTATACCCTGTTTTTCTGTTTGGAGTACAAGCAGAAAGTTAGATCTAGAGCCTTAACAATATTGCTTAAGAAATGCATTATACTTCAAAACAGTCCAATGATGCTCAGCTTAGAATAAACTCTAGGCTTTTTGGTTGAAATATGGTAGCTTCCCAGTAAATTTTAGCAGAAAAAACACTGTCACACCTTTTGTTGCAATAAACTTCGAAGTAATCTATTTCAACTTATGAGTGCTTGTTATCAGGGGCGGATCTAGGATTTTCTCGAGGGGGGCGGATTTTCAAAAAAATTTTGAAAATTATGACGACTTTTTTTTTAGGTAGACCAAATTGAGTTTCCGAGCTCTCCTAAAGCACTAACAAGACGCTGTTTTTGCTAAATTTTCAGCGCCGCAGTCAATTTTTTGAAAAAAAAACAGGTCAAAAAAGCCGTTTTTGGGCACTTTGGGCACATTATCATTGCTAAATGCGTAGTCTTAGGATGTATGACATCGAAAACAAATGTGTTGGAAGTTGTTATGCAAAAATTTTTGTTACACTATGACAACTGAAGTTCTAATGTAGCGTGGAGAAGAAAAGAGCCAAATTTTTGCCTTCATATTTCATCCATTAAAGACTTACCAGCTGAAAATTAGATGCGAGTTAGTTGGTAGTTCTAATGTAGCGTGGAGAGGAAAAGAGCCAAATTTTTGCCTTCATTTTTCATCCATTGAAGGCTACCAGCTGAAAATTTGATGCAATACGGAACTAACCTATTACTGCTTGAAAAAATATCCAGTTGTGCTCGGGCATAACAACTTGTTATTCCCCAGCACAACTGAATTTTTTTTAAAGCAATTATAGGCTAGTTCCGTATCGTTTCTAAATTTCAGCTGGTAAGCCTTTAATGGATGAAAAAAGAAGGCAAAAATTTGGCTCTTTTCCTCTCAAGGCTACATTAGAACTTCAGTTGTCATAGTGTAATAAAGTTTTGCATAACAACTTCCAACACATTTGTTTTCGATTTCATACATCCTAAGACTACGCATTTAGCCATGATAATACTTCAGATAAATGTAAAAAGTGGAATATTTGAGTGGGTGTGGAGTGGAAAAAAGCCGAAAGTCTTATTAGAAAAGTGGACTGGTTTAATTCGAAAATACGGAGCTTTGACCACCGAGCGGTAATCAACCAAAAAAAATGCAAAACTTTCAAAATAAACGACAATTAAAAACCGCATTTGGCATTCTTTTTGTGTCATTTATGTGCAGAAACCGGCAAACAGAAAAGCTAATTTGAGGAGGCTAAATTAAGAAAAATGCTGCTTCTTTTTGACCACGCATATTAATATATTGTACTTTTCTAGTAAATGTTGGTCCAATTATAATATATATTTTTTCATTTTTCATCATTTAGGAGAGGTAATACTCAAAAGTGCATGTACAAAACAGTCCCATGCAAAACAGTCTAATACAAAGTAGTCCAAAAAATCATGAAATGAAGAAAAAAAGCAGTCCAATACAAAACAGTCCGATTTAAAGTCGCTGGTGGGCGCGCTGCGCGCGCGTAACCGCTTTGCGGCGATAACCGTCTCTAAATTTTGTAAGACGTCCTAACCTCTGTTGGCAAGCTCGCAACACGTTTTTAGCAGACTCAGAGCAATTGTGAAGTGTGATAGCTAACTTCAAAGGCGGCATTGGCGATTAGCGGTGCCAGGGATTTTAGCAAACCGGTTTTTTAGCAGACCGGTTTTTTAGCAGACTCAGAACAATTATAAAGTGTGATAGCTAACTTCAAATGCATCATTGGCGATTAGCGACCGCTTGTTCCGCTGCACTTCAATTCAACGCAAGTGTTATTGCGCGCGTAACTCTTTGTTTTGCCGCAAATTAAGACTTGTGTTTCTGAAGTTGATAGTTTTTTTGACAGATCGTGAGATAATTGACTTAATTGGGGAAGCTTGGCCCCAGACTGAGTGTTTTGTTTTTTTTTTTGATTCTGTCAATCAATCATTCATCACTTTATTATGTTGGTCTCCTAAAAGACTCATTTTTCACCTTTTATGCTACAAGATTGGTCTGCTAAACGATCCGTCCCGGGATTAGCGACCGCTTGCTCCGCTGCATTTCATTTCAACACGAGTGTTATTGTGCGCGTAAATCTTTGCTTCGCCGCTAATTTTGACTGTTGTGTTTTTGAAGTTGATAGTTTTGTTGACAAATCGTGAGATAATTGACTTAATTGGGAAAGCTTGGCCCCAGACTGAGCGTCTTTTTGAGTCTGTCAATCAATCATTCATCACTTATTTATGTTGGTCTCCTAAAAGACTCATTTTTCAGTTTTTATGCTACAAGATTGGTCTGCTAAACGATCCGCCCCGGGATTAGCGACCGCTTGCTCCGCTGCATTTCATTTCAACACGAGTGTTATTGTGCGCGTAAATCTTTGCTTCGCCGCTAATTTTGACTGTTGTGTTTTTGAAGTTGATAGTTTTGTTGACAAATCGTGAGATAATTGACTTAATTGGGAAAGCTTGGCCCCAGACTGAGCGTCTTTTTGAGTCTGTCAATCAATCATTCATCACTTATTTATGTTGGTCTCCTAAAAGACTCATTTTTCAGTTTTTATGCTACAAGATTGGTCTGCTAAACGATCCGCCCCGGGATTAGCGACCGCTTGCTCCGCTGCATTTCATTTCAACACGAGTGTTATTGTGCGCGTAAATCTTTGCTTCGCCGCTAATTTTGACTGTTGTGTTTTTGAAGTTGATAGTTTTGTTGACAAATCGTGAGATAATTGACTTAATTGGGGAAGCATGGACCCAGACTGAGCGTCTTTTTGAGTCTGTCAAGCAATCATTCATCACTCTAAAAGACTCTTTTTTTCATTTTTATGCTACAAGATTGGTCTGCTAAACGATTGGTTCCCGCAATTATAGTAGACAGGTCCCGTATGCAATTTGCATGTAATAATTTAAAAAGTAAAATGTGTATTTTCTTTTCTTTGCAGAAATCCCGCAAAATGTATTGAGTCAAAAACTTTTCGAATAAAAATTGTAAATTCAATTTTCCTTATATCAAGAAAAATGCTCGCTTCAACTTAAGTTACATTTTAAAAATTATAACTGGGTTTGCTTAGGTCATCAAAACTTAATGACAATTTTTTATGAATTTTTCATCTTAAATGGCGAGGGGGGAGCTCTTCCGAAATAACGAAAGATAAGATTTGTTTAAGAATAAACAGGCACAATGGCAAATTTAAAAAAAAACGACTTAAGAGCGCCACTACCTAATCAATTTAGTATCCAAGTTGACTCTATAATAGACTAGACTTCTTGACTTTAATATTTGACTATAATTCTTGACTTTAATATTGCAGGAAATTCTTATCGGCTAGTGGGTGTTTTGGGGGCGTTCAACAGTGCCTAAGTACAACAGTGTTGAAAATTGAGGTTACTTGCAAATGTTCACTTCTCTTTGCAAATCGATGGCATATTGCTTGAATACTGTTTCTTTTTGGCGCGAAACCGAGAAAAAATTTAACAATTTGCTGAGTTAATTGTTTGTTCAGAAAAAAGTTATGGGTATTCTTAGTAATTTTTGGCACTGTTAAATAACGCTTTGATTTTCGGCGCTGTTGTACTTCGGCACTGTTGTACTGCCCCGGTGTTTAACCTTTGAGTAATCATATATAAACTAGACGGAGGAAGCCATTGTTTTCCGAGCTAACGCCATTCTTGCGAAAAGATCAACAAGCTTTGAGCTGTTGATCATCAAGGCGTGGGATTATTTGCAGTTTGAGAGTTTGAGGGGTTTTGAATGCCAAAATGCACTACAAGAATGAAGCTCAACAATATGATACGATTTGTAGCATGAAGCAGGACTGATTGTTTATTAATCTGGGTATTTGTCTTTATCAAAGGTTTGCTGCGTTTTTGTCTGTCAATAGCCGAATGTTTAATGAAAGTTATGTAACTTGCCGAAGGCAAATACGTCGCAAGCACTTCATTGGCTGGTGCTGTTTAACATTTCAGACTCAAATAAAGATCTCGAGAACAAACTTCAAACGAAATTGCGTCTCTGCTCAACTGACTTTGAACAATAGTCTCAGCGCCTAACTAATTCAAATCTCACAACTCAAATATGGCCGCTCAACATGTAAGTGATCAAAAATCCAATGCTCAAAAGTGTTTCAGTTTTTTCTTCAAAAAACCAACCTCTTTGACACGCCGGTAGTTGATATAATTTTACCAGAAAAAATTTTACCAGGAAAAAATAGCGCAAGAGTTCGTTTTATCATGCCACAGCATCATCAGGTTGTTTTGAAGTATTTTGAATTTTCAAGCAAAAATTTTCAAATATTAGGACTGCGAATCTTAAATTGTGCTTGTAGCCCAAACCTTCCATAGTTGCGTTCAAACACTTCAATGTGGAGTCGGACGCGCAGACACTGCGAGATGCGATGAAGGGCATGGGTACTGACGAGGACACGATCATTGAGATCATGTGTGCGAGGAACTACGAGCAGATCAGTGCGATCAAGAAGAGTTTCCAGCAGATGTTCGGACGGGTGCTGGCGGATGACCTCAAGAGCGAATTAGGCGGCAAGTTTGAGAAGGTGATTCTGAAACTGCTCATGTCGCCGATGGAGCAAATGGCAACTACGCTCAGAAACGCTGTTAAGGTACCAGTTTAGGCCAAGCTGCACGTTTTCAATGTGCATTGAAATAGATCTAAGCACACTTTTAATTTTGGCTGTAGGGTGCTGGCACTGACGAAACTGCAATCATCGAGATTATGTGCACCAGCACCAACGAAGAATTAGCCGAAATCAAAGCAGCCTACAAAACACGTAAGTTATATTCTACACAATAAATCATCATAGGAGCTGAATTGCTCCCCCGTATATCTAGTCATTAACTCGCTAATTTTTTAGAGAAAATGTTTTAGAGAAATTGCGAAAAGTTATACATTTTTTTAATTTAGTGTTTTTGGTAAAAAAAAAGACAACTAAACGATGTAAAAACTGCAAAATTGAGAAATAATAATAAATGAAACAAGACTGCTCGTATCAGGGCGAAGCCCTGAATGTTCCTACTGCCATTTAAGGTTTATGGAGCAGTAATAATTTTAAAAATTAAATGAAATAAAACTAAATGAAATTTTTTTTTCCTAAAATTTGAAGTTTTTCAAATGAAAATCATCCCCCCATACGCCATATAAAGTACAAAGGGATAGTTTTCACTCCTTATAACAAATAAATTATGGCAAATGAGCTTCCCGGGATGACCGAAATTTCGTATCATACAATTCCCATATATGAGAAACTTCTTGTCATACAATTCCATACAATGCCATACGTACAGAACATTGTATGAAATCTCTATGATAAACATTTTTCCATAAATGAAAATTGTATGATAGGTGTTTTTCCATAAACCAAAATGTTTGATTTTTTCTTTTTAAATTTTTTTTTCTGAAAATTTTTTGGTCGTGTTTGCAGCCAAACACAAGAGACAAAGACCTTGGTTACTCAAAGCACCAAAGGTTGGACGGTCTTTGCATTTGCAATGCATAGAAAACGACCTGAGTTAGGCTGTCTTTCACAATTGATATAAAAAAAGTAACAAACTTTTAACTTTTGGCAAAATTTTTTAATGGTGATTAATTTAAACTTTTGATTTTTTCAAATGATCAGACATTGATCAAGGCATATATAAACACCCCATACAAGAAAAAAAAATTTTGAAGAAAAAAAAATTTAGTCAAAAGAAAGTAAAAGCCAATATTATTGCATCCAGGACTACGTTATGCACACAAAAAATTAAATTTTGCATGCAAAAAAATTTTTTCGAAAAATGTTTGTTTGCGTACGAAATTCGATTTGCGGTCGAAAAAAAAACAAAAAAATTTCGTGGCCAAATTTCGTGGCCAAAAAAATTTCGTGGCCAAACCTCGATTTTTTTTACCAGACTGTTTCATCAGAATCAAACAGCCACAGAAAAAAGTTTGTATCTTTTTTCAACCATTTTTAGAAATTATATGAAAATTGTATGACAAGCATTTTTCCACACACTTGATGTATGGAATTGTATGATAACCATTTTCGGTGTATGGAGGTCAACCCGGGTTCTTTCAACCAATTTGGAACGATTTCTAAGACGCATTGACTCTCCGCTTACGCGTTAATAGCGCGAATTATATCGCGCGTTAATTGTCCCAAATTAGCCAAAATGGCAATCTCTAAACCCCCGTAACTTTACGAAAATTGATCACAGGTGAAATATTTTTTCAAATTTGAGCTCAGGATAAGAATACCTTTCGAATGTTATAAAAAATTCCGTCAAAAATGGCTAGTTAAAAAGTCGAAATTTGTAGAAAAAAAACCCACCCCGAGCACAAATATTCCGTTACTTTTGTATCGAAAGTAGGAAAAATTATGATCAGTAGTAAAATTTGTAGTAAAATTAACTTATAGTAAAATTAAGTTTTTCGTATCTAATCGAATTATGTCAAGCTTAGACTGAAAACAACAATGCTTAATCCTTTTTCCTAAAACTTAGAATTTTTGAAGTCTTTTAAGGATACAAATCATGATCATTAGGCTTACTATGGTATCATTTTTGAAAAAGCGGGATCTAAACCATAGTTACTTGAGAGGGGGGGGGGGGGTGGTTACTTGGGTGTGGGGTGTATTATTGTTAGAATGTAGCCAATCATTATCGAGTAAATTACACGCAGCGTCTAGCTCAATTTAACCAAAACAAATAGTATAGTAGAAAATATAAAATAGTGTTCAATTTTTCAAAAAAAGTTTGATCAATCAGCTTTTTAAAATACCAAAATTGACCACCAACGAGCTTTTTTTGAGGTAATCAAAACTGGCGTAGAAAAAAAATGGAGGCTAAGCCATAGTTCCTTTCTACTCTTTGAGAATAGTCGAACAAAAAACGCATACTATAGTTTTGCTCACCAAAATGCATACCGTACATAGACTTGCAATCCTCAAACGTACCATACGTATACACACCAACAGTAAACATACCAAATTTATTCATACCGAAAAATTACATAGCAGCATATACAAACTGTTTTTATACTAACCATGCAGTGCCGCGACAACTCGTAACAAAAGACAACTCGCTTGACAAGACAAACCGTAGAAAATTTGAACGGTAATTTTTTGTTCCAATAATCTAATGTTGACTGAAAAGGCGGTAAAATAGCACAGCCTTTGAGCTTTCAAATTTTTGTTGATATAATGGGATTTAACAGATCAAAGTTCAATTAAAGAGCTTTCAGCTGCAACACTGATCACTATCCTTGAGTTTTTGATGACTTTCGTTGCAATTGTTCACATTTAGTGCAATTATAGAGCTTTCCTCTGGACTTGAACCAAATCAAGAGATTTTGGTTAGATTTTGCTCGTTGTTTAATTTACTACACGATTTTTGATACTGTTCTAGAAAGTTCTAAGCCAGCTTTTGACTGAATTGATTGTTTCTTGTGTTCTATGTAAATTAACTAAACTGAGTCCAAATAGTTGGTTGAAAAGTGATCTTTTCGCTGAATTTCACGTAAGATTTCACCATCCACCTTTTTCGAAATATCCGAGACAAGCTTTGACCGCTGATCTCACTTGTTGTGGCGTACAAAATTTGCAGTGCAAGCTTCAAGTCGTACTGAGGAATGAGTACCAGCGCAAAAAAGGACTTCATTTTTTTCGTAACTTTTGTCCTTTCTGTTATCGATTGAAGGTCTTAATACTTAAAAAGTTAATTTGCCTATTCAAATTGATACAGGCAATTTGTTAAGACGCTATGAGAAATTAGGATTTGCAAGCCAAAATTGCTGCTTTTTTGGTTTCAAGTAGTGTTTCTGTCTCTGCGGGCTCTAAGGGGTCGGACTCACGGAACACTATGAATACTTGGTGCACTTGCTGTGAAATTTTGCTTGTAATAGAAAGTAAACCATCGGGATTAACCAGTTTTTTATAACAGCATGTACCGTACATGCATGATATAATAACGAAGGGTAGATTTGAATGTGCTAGCGGCATGCCAAGTTTCGTATCGCTCAAGCATGTCAAGTTTTGAGTCAGTGGTGAATACTGAGTCGATCGCAATACCCGGCCCGAGTCATGCGCCAAAAAATTTTCTCTTTGAGTTTTCTGAAGTTCCATGTTAGTTGCGATGTCCCGCACGGTCTTTGGCAGACCTCTAAGTTCTCTTTTGCGCTGTTTGCCATGAACACCGACGTAAGTTTACCCACATTTGCTACGCAATCCTAGGAAACGGTTTTAATTACGTTTGAGTTGATAGATCGGGGATGTTCTTGAGAATTTTGCATTAGTGTCTTTAATTGTTGCGTAAAACTATGCATTTTTAAAAATTAGATTTTGCCATGATATATCTAGCCAACAAGTAGGAGAGTGTTTTCGAAACCATCTGTCAAAGTTTGCGTTTATGTAACATCCCCCAGGGTTGTTAACAGCTATGCACGTTTAACGGTCATGCTTTTAACCTAATTTAAGCCTATTTTGTCTAAAAATCTAATTTGAAATATTCCAAAACGACACGTTTAGGCTACCTACTTTCATTTTTTTGTTTTTTTAAATAATTCTCCAGAAATAAAACATCACATGTGAAATTTGTTATAACAATTTTTATGCGTTTCCAGTTGTTGTCTAGCTTTTTTTCTTCAACTCAAACCTCATGAAATATTTTGTTTTTAAAGATCAAGATTCTTTTTTGCGCTGTTTTGCACTGAATTGCAACGTTATTGAATTGAATAGAAAGAGATTTAGAAATCAAATTGACAATAATTTCGATTGGGAACGATGCAACCAGAGTTCTCGATTCAATTTGTGGCGTTAAACAAACATACTCATTTTTCGTCACAATTGTTTTTAAACAAGTAACAAGACTACTCGTATCAGTGCGAAGCCCTGAAAGTTCCGACTGCCTTTTAAGGTTTATGGGGCAGTAATAACATTAAAAAGTTAAAGGTGAAAAACAAAATGAAATTTTTTTTTTGAAATTTGATTTTTTTTTGTGAAAAACATCCTCCCACGCGCCATATAAAGTACAATAGGATAGATTTCGTTCCTTGAAACAAACCAATTATGGCAAATAAGCTTCTTTTAACCAATTTGGAACGATTTCTAAGACGGATTAACTCTCCGCTTACGCGTTAATAGCACGAATTGTATCGCGCGTTAATTGTCCAAATTGGCCAAAATGCCAATCTTTAAACCCCCGTAACTTTACGAAAAATGATCACAGGTGAAATATCTTTTCAAATTTGAGCTCAGGACAACAATACCTTTCGAATGATATAAAAAAATTCCGTCAAAAATGGCTAGTTTAAAAGTCGAAATTTGTCTGAAGAAAAAAAAACCCACCCCGAGCACAAATATTCCGTTACTTTCGTATCGAAAGTCGGAACAAAAATTAACAGATACATAGTTGGCATTAAGCGAGGGATTATTACAGGTCTTAGCTTAGGGGTATTTAATTTGTTGATATAGGAGTTTATTGCAAGTTATCGTAATTGCCTAATAACACGAGTTGTCTTTTTTGCGAGTTGTCTTTTTGGAGAAATGTCTCTTGTTGCGAGTTGTCGTGTAACGTTACCATTTATATGCATACAATGCATATACCTGATAGACATATGAATACAATTGATCAATGCGGGCGGAGGTTGCTAACTTATTCGCATGATTCAATTTTTAGTGTTCAAACATGACTTGATGAAAGATCTAGTGGATGACACCTCCGGGGACTTCAAGAGACTCTTGGTGAGCATGTCCGCAGGAGACAGAGACCAAGGCGGACAGGATTTGAGTGAGGCTGAGGCCATGAGCTACGCACAGGTATAATAACATTTAACCCTAGTCACATTTTAAAACGCTAGAGACCCGCATTGCTTAAACAACTTATTCAACTCCATACACTGTTTCTAGAGCAAATACCTTTGTATTAGTTCTGATTGACATAATCGAAGTCAAGAAAATGAGAGTTTTCATTAAAAATTATTTTTCTAAATATCCATATTTTCTGCGTAAAATTTAGAAAACCTGTGTGATGGCTTTTATTTTGTTGAATACGTTTCAGAAACTGTTCGATGCTGGCGAGGGTAAAGTGGGCACTGATGAGGAGGCTTTTAACATGGTGATGGCCAGGAGGGGTTTCCACCAACTGAGACAGATCTTCCACGCCTATGACAGGAATCTCAGTCCCGAGAATGGCATCGTTAAGGCCATCAAGTCTGAGTTCTCCGGATCTATCAAGGAGGCATACGTAGCAACGGGTCAGTCTGCGACATCCATTCGTATCCTTCACTTTTTTTTGAAATCAAAGCCGCTACTCCGAACACTTAATAAATAATATGCGAATAGACAGATTATTTGAAACATCCCGAAGATTTATAGTGACTCATGTTCTCACTTTTAATTCCCAGCAGGTCAGATTATAAACTTTAGTCTTTTAGCTGTGACTGCCCTGGAAGGTCGGGAGGCCTATTTAGCTGACCAGCTCTACCAAAGCATGAAGGTACCATATACCATTTCAATTTTATCGCCATACGCTTTCGGAGAATATTTCAATGCATGTTTCTATTCACATGACTTACAAGATTTAAGCAATAGGGTTTTTGCAATGCGACATCGACGGACTCACCTTAAAATCTATTACATATCAAAATCAATAGCGTATATTCCTCTTCAATATACACTAATTTTGAGGGGATGCCTGAGTAAACTTCTTTTTTCTGAAAGCTTTATTAGCAATACTGTGAAGGCTTTTTGAGCTTTTCTTTTTCGAAATCTTTTTATGAATTATTGATTTATCTATGACGATGTAGGGTTTGGGCACAAATGACAACCAGCTGATTCGCTTGATTACCTCCCGGTCCGAGATGGACCTCAAGGGAATCGCAGTCCAGTTCCTGAAGCGACACGAAAAGACACTGGAGGAGTTTGTGGTGGTGAGTAAGCCATCAACTTCATCAAGGCGCTCCTGTTCATTTATAAACGGTGGCCTGAAGTTGTTTTTATTCCGCGAACTGATAACTCACTGTTAATTGTTTTAAAGAAGTATTGCGACAAAGTCTAAAAGAGGTGTAGTTTAAAAGAGTCATCATATTGGGTGGGGTTGAAAGTTACGGAATGGGTTACAGCTATGGCTATACAATGGATTTAGTAATAATCAAAATGCTGAAATAATCTAATTCAAAAACTTATTTTATGGATACCTCAGAATAGTACTGAGAGTTTTATTTACGAAAGATCAATTCGTATAGCCCGCACTCCCATTCCCATTTTACCTGAATTCTTAGCTTCGTAAAGCCTTAGTGGTGATCACCTCAAGATTGGTTTGATTTCAGGATGACACAAGTGGAGACTACGGCAAATGTCTGCTGGCTCTCGTCAAGGGCAATGCCCAATAGATGGATACAGAAAAATTAAGGCAAGGAAAACCAGAAAGGAGGCTGATTAAATCCTAATGTATCAAACTATAACTTAATTTTACAAATCAGCTGATAAAAAATTGTACAAATTTCTACTCTTTGATACGGTGTCGAGGATAAATTGATAAGAATACAAAAAACTATATCCTGTCAAAAAAAAACAAGTTCAGAGCAAGGATCATCAGAATTAAGAGAAGGAAAATTCATGAATCAAATTTGACAGCATTTTGAAAATGCAACCAGTTCTGTTGCTCAATAACATTTGTAAAATTAAATGAAAACGAAATTTTTTTTGGCGTTTCAGGTTAGTGGTTGCCCAAGTTTTTCATAATAAAAACAACTACAGTAAATTAAAAGTTCGTCTACTCGTCAGTTATGTCTAATTCGTGCAAAAAATATCATCTTGGTTCAAACAAATATAAACGGAAATTTTATTGCAATTGATAAATGTTTACGACAATAGCAAAAAAAACAGTTTTTTTTAATTATGTGGTTTTTTTTCGTGATGTGATCAAAAGATATGATTGAAAGCCTAGAACTTAGGCAAGTTTAAAAAAAGAATAGTATATTTGGCAAAACTGATTTCATTTTTCATTAAAATTTCTTAGTGTTTTTAGATTTTAGTGTAATTAAAGATTTTTTGATGTTTTCATTTTTTCGAAGAACGCACGAAAAAGTTGAAAAACTAATTTAACAGAAACAAAACTGATTTTTCACAACTCAACTTGAAGTATGAGCTATCATAAGACCTAATTGCTCACTTTACTGGCTTTTTTTTTCTGGAAATCAGACAAGCTCAAATATGTTCAAACTATTTTTCTCAACATTGGAAGTACTTTTAAGAGTGTTTTAGAACGTCGTTTCAATCAGGGCGTAGAAAGATTGAACATGATACCTCATTCAAGATTTTCTGCTTATAATTGTAACCTGATTTTTGGCGGAAACGAAAAAAGTTAGAGAAAAATTAAGCACGAATTTAAAGTAGTTCCTCTTCATTTTCAATTGTCGGAACAAAAAATTCAGGCTCTTTGACTAATTCTGAAAACAAGAGGCGCGCAATTGAATTTGAGGCTTTTGAAATGCAGTTTTGGTTGACAGCCAACATAACCATAATTTAGTTCGAATCACTTTCTTTGACATTTCTTTTCTACTCCAAAAGTTAAAGTTTTTCCGACAAACAGTTAAATGCCCTAAAAATTTTTTGAAACAACATTTGGCCTGCAATGGTTAGTTACTATAACAAGATGTTTTAAAAAACAATTTCTCAACTGTGGGATGACTAATAGGAGCAATGTTTGCAGTTTCTCTAGTAAATTTTGACACAAAATTTTCACAGTAAATTGAACAAAATTTTTTGAAACTCAGGATGCATTGCTACGTTTGAAACACATTTTTTTTTATTAATTTGATTTTGGTGTTGGGTAAAAACGATGAAAAAATTAAGTTCATGCTTTTTTCATTTTTGCTTACTGATTTGCGTCAGCCAAAATCATTGGGATTTTCGTCTAAACATTGATGATTTTCGTCAGACAAACAATTAACGATTTCTCAGAATTTGATTTAATTTTTCACCTGCTGTAAGCTTTAGTGATACTCAGAAAATTTAAAAATTGGGTAATATTCAAGTTTTAGTTATTTGCGCTCGTTTGATAATTTTCCCAGTTTGACAAAAAAGCTAGTCATACAATCTCAGTCTCAGTTTTGTCGCAGTGTGAAATGGTGTGACTAGCAATTTTCGCAGTGTAAAAATGTGTGAGTAGCATCTTTTTGTTGGCTTTTTTTTTCCTTATGTGAAAATTACCCAATTTTTTGAGTTTTGCTTTGTTTCAGTTCTGAGCAAAATAACCAGAAACGTTTTTCATACAAGAAAACAAACAAACTGAGTGGCAAGAGTCCCACAAACGAACTGCATTTGTAGATTCGCCTTGTGACAAAATGCTGAGGGTTTATGATTAGTGAAAGTGTTTTTTTTTTGGATTTTTTCCTCATGTAACCCCAAAACGTTCACACTCCAAATCCCTCTTCTATTCCAATCCCCCAAAATTAATTTTTAAATTAATAATAATTGATTATTTTTAGTTTTTGTGGAGACTGACATTGAAAACATAATATAATTGATTATTATTCAAGAAACGTCCTTGCGGGTAGGTTTGAATTACTCGAGTGTGATTTGAAACCACCTTATTGGTAAAAATATCCTGTTTGACTGAAATTATAATACTTACTATTAATAATGGCTGTTGGTGAGGAAAAACAAAAGCTATAAAAATTGTTTAAGCTTGTCAAAGCTTTTTCGACAAAAAATTGTTAATAGTGTTTTGCTCTGAGACGAGCAATTGTGCTTTCCCGACTTTCGAAAAAATTGACGGCTGATTTGCACTCGGGTGTTTTTTGCTCCAGACCAGTTTTGATCTCTTTACTAGCAATTTTGACAAAGAAGTTTAAAAATATTTCTAAGATATTATCGTCTTGAGCTCAAATTTAAATCTCTATTTAAGCTGTGATAATTTCTCATAAAGTTATAGGGTAATGCACACCACCAATAAGGCCAATTTGGGATGAATAATGTGTGGCAACTTGCTGGTGTGCAAAAATTCTGAGTGGTTTAAGCTAGCAGCCCACGTCCAGTCAGCTTAAAAATATCGACAAGGTCTTGAAGATTCTTGAAGATTTATCGAAGATAGCAGAGAAACTTTAAAATACCGGTAATAACTTTTAACCTATAATAACTTTAAAACATTTCAGTGCAAATTATTAAACAAACAATAGTCAAGCTTCTCCCAAACAACTGGTGATGCTGACTTTTGACACTGACAATGTGTTTTTTTGGTAGAAAAGAGAACTGGATCAACCTTACAATGTACAATGTACCGACTAATCAAACCGGTATTTTATCCCCTTCAATCGATTTTTTAGGGGGGAGGGTTGTGGTGTGAAAATTACGGTTGATCAGAAGAACTCAAACGAAGAGTCACAGATAACAGAAAGAACACTTGAGATTTTGGGAGTAGCTTGTGAGCGAATTAGAGAGCAAACGAAATATAAAATGGCTAACGAAAACGATAAGCCCACTAGAGATGAAATTGTGAAATTAAAAAACTCAGAGGGTACGAAGGCCCGGAATAACAATAGACCCTAGGAGAAATGAGCTACGAAAATGGCAAAGACGGGATTTCCCGGGTCGAAGTCCGCGACTAATTTTTCGACTTTGTGAGTTTAGATCCGGGGTGACCTTCTCATAGAGTAATTTCGGATAGGGTACACCGTCTATTTGTCACACTATCTATTTTTGGCTGGGTAGATTCGTACACAACTCTCAGTCTAATACCAATCCTAATCTCACTCTTAAACATTATATTTCCTAGCCTCAATAGATCTAGAGTATACTGGTTTATTGCGAGGTTAGAAGAGAGAAGAAAGCAACTGATTTCAATCTTTATTATTAATTCTCTGACTGAAACTACGAATAGTTTCAGCTTTACATTTTATATCGTAAATTTTAGTCATGGGTCATGGTTGGTTAGTGCCTGATCATTCAAATTACAATGTTAATCGATGACAACGCGAGAACAGAACCATGAGCACTAGTCTCTGACAAATCTGACGAGGAACTAAAATCAGCCAAAATAAGAGCAAATCATAAGTTCTTTAGATGACAAAAGAACAGTTAAATCAGGAGGATAAACAGTAGTGAGAGAGCTAAGTTAGAAACAATCAGTTCTTGGGATGACCTCGCAGGGATACTTATCCCTGATTCAACATTATATCAAGAATGAGTGCTGCAAATGTTATAATTATGAATAAGTGGCAGCTTATCAGGCCCTGCAACAGAGATATTTATCTCTGACATCAACTAGGGTTAAGTAAAATGGCAGACAATATGGACTAGAGTTCGAAACCATCAATTTCAGTTGAAGTAGAAAATATTGAGGATTGAAAAGAGTATAAAAGAAAGATGCTGGATGTAAAACTGCAACTAATTGTAATAGTAGTATCATTATTTTTTCAACTGGATCAGCATGTAAAATTTACACGTGATTTTAGAAAAAAAATGTTTTCACAGCAGTTTGAGTTGTACTTTTTTTCAGAAGTGAAAAGCATTTATTCTCTCTTGAGATGATTTTTCACCAAAGAAGCTTGACAGTGATTGACAAGGAATGGTTATTGGTATTAGAACAAAACAATCCCGATTTTTGCAATTAATTAGTTCAATTTTTCAGCAATTCGACTTGATTAAAGTTTTTTGTTACAAATTTTGCTCGTATGTAGACCTGTAGAACTGTTACCATTTTTTTTCTTATTTGATTCGTTTCAAAACTGCGAGTTAGTTTTTGTGTCGCAATGTCTTTGTTTTTTTTGTTTTGTTTTCATTTTGGTCATAAAAAGCCGCAACTCCACTCCTTTTGGAGCTAGAGTAGGTTTTAGTTCTTGGTAGCCATCTAAACTTCATTTCATTTTATACATTTATTCTGGGAATAATTTCATTGAGGCAAATTTTTGTAGGTTTTAACTCCAACTGCTCGATGAAGGCTTCTAGTTCGTCAATTTTTAAGCGCTAGAGATATTATATTGAGCAAAAAAAATTGTCTGTTATCTTTTTTCCATTTTACACAAAATTTACTCTTAATAGTCTGACTGTTCCCGCTTGAGGCCACCCAAGCAGTTCAAGTAAGTAACTTGATCCACTTTTTTTAAAATTTGTTTCAATTAATTAATTTAATTTTTTTTTCTGATTCAATTAACCTTAAATTTTTTCTTTCGAAATGAAAAAAAAACACTAATTTTCGGTGGAGTTATTTTGGTCCTTTGCTAAAATCCAGCTGAAAAATAGGTATTACAGCAAGAGATCTCATTTAGTTTTTGAAATTAAAAAGAGGGTTGAATTGCGAGAATTTTTCGAGCACTCTGGGGGCCAATGAAGGAATAGAAGTGCCGTGCAGATATCATGACGAAAAATATAAGGGGAGATGCTCTTTTAGACTAACAGTTAAGTGCTGATCATTCAGATTACTATGTAAATTGATGACAACGCAACAACAGAACCAAGATATCTCTGCCAAACCTGATGAGGAACTACAATTTTTTTATATGCAAAAAGGAAAGTGAAGTCAGGATGTTAGGCGGGAGTGATTAGTGCAGAGAG